AGATAAATCACTTCTTATACATGATATTTATCTTCAACATTTAATATATTATATCTTCGTGTATTTGCATGATTTTCGTGTACAATGTTTTTTGTTTCAGTTATGAAGGTTATAAAATGATGTATAATATGCATGCTCTATTTTTTTCTCTTTTTTTTGTTGACTCATCGATTTTGTAGATTACTCTTAAAGATCTGGCATACAAAGTCTAAAAAAAAACATTTGGCATACAAAAACAAACAGTTAGAATTGAAGGATAGAGACTTGATTTTTTCGTGTTGAATAGCTAATGTAATCGTGCTTTGTTATTTAACAACATAGTGAAACACTTCCTTGCTAAGTTATCTTAAAAATGAGTGTAGTTTTTTTGTTTCTAATAAATAAAAAAACAAGAATAGATGTTATAGTATCGTCTGAAATGTGGCTAATTTATTTCAGCATAACTATATTTTTTTGGGGATTGATGTGATACTTGCATGATTTACGTGTATAATAGAGTAAAATGTACAAATTTTTTTTGAAAAAGATTTGATCACCCTAAAATATAGGTTATATATATTAATTTCTCACACCAAATTAATTCAATTTTAAATATGTAATTTATTATTTGTTGTGCAGATTTTTTTAGGATATTTTTGTAGTTTCATATTTAATAAAGTGTATTTTTAAAAAAAATTAAAAAAGTATTTTTTAAATTTAAAAAGCCAAAAAAATATTTTTTTAAATTTCCTCTTATGTAATAATGTCAAATGGACAAAAGATAATATCGGATATAAAATTTACTTAGTGTTTTGGGTTTGGTTGTTTGGGCCTACGTGATTCTGTCTGCGTGATCAGCACAAACAATGTTATATTAGCCAAAGCCCACCTTACGATGATCATGGGGATGCCGTCAAAATAGTGCAAGTGATATAAAAGAGATAGAATTTGCAATAGAATGTTTATAAATCATTGGTATCTTAGTAAGGAACAAAAAAAAGCTGACCCACTTTGAGTGTCATATCACCGGCTAACTATTTATTAAATTGTAGAAAATTTCCCTACAGTTGTAGAAAAATATCAAAACAACATATTTTTAAGTTTTTCCCCCAAAAATACTACCACTACATTTATTTTCTAGAAAAATTATT